TAGTGAACGGGTCACTTTGCAATTTATGTGCGTTGGCTGTTGGGCTGGCGTTACATATCTTCGCTACACAATGCTGACGAGCCCTAAGAAGGGCGAAACAGCTGTCCGCGTTGCGAACCTACTTTTATATCGGTTCTTGTCATGTTGGTGTCTCGAAACGTTTTTCGCGTAGTATCAGCCTTGCTGTCTAATTGTTTGTCTAATCCAGAGCCCGCATATGGTCACATGATATTAGTCAGCGGATACCTTGTTTTGACAGGTGTTGATCGACCATAGTATGGATGTCCAATATCAAAGATGTACGCCATGTTGCGCGACGTCGTCGTCGTTTTTCGTGGTAGGGCGCACGCGCCCACGATCCATGCCGCTAGCCATGTTGACCATGAGAAAAAGAGTTGCATGGTTTTTTATTTTTATACATGCAATCGGTTATGTTCCTATAGTTATGGTGCTCCGCTTGGCGGCACTTCGGCACGTCGGAGCTCCGCTTTTAACATTTGAGTCAGCCTTAAGCGTGCGTCATCGCGTGATGACGTCAGCGACAAGTTTGGAGAGCCGAAAGAAGTCGTGTGCAATTTCTCGAAGCGCAGAGAGACTGGGCAACTCTGGCTCCTTCATGAGCTTCCCAAGTGAATCGTAACTCGATGATGCACGGATGAAAAAACATGAACCAGTTGTTTTGTATAACTGCCAATGGAAATGTCGAAGCAAAGTTAACTTTGTTCACACCATAAGAGTGCATCACTGGATTGTGACGCATGTATAGAACTAGAACTCCGCTTTAAAAGCACCACTGCTCTTTCGATTCAGACATCAAATGCGTCATTTATTTAAATTAATGTTTCGGCTGATAACTTTTTTTGTCTACCCTGGTGTGTTTATTCAAGCAAGGACCTGTGTTTTAACATGCTAATCAATCGGTTACACACGGCGCAATATTATATTAAAAGTTTTGACTTTAAAAGCACACGCTCAATCAAGGAAAAACACGACTTTGTTTAAAAGAATTAACAGACAGTCTAGAAGAGTTTCATTCAAGTCTGTTGTGACTTGTCGAGTAATATCATAAATGCAGATTTGATCAGATAAGTTGAAATTAAAGCGCTCAAACACAACTAACATATCTATCCGCAGTGTTCTCGGTCATAAACACTTGTTTGATAATTTTGAAATATTGCGAGCATGTTTTATTGAATTAAACTGGTAAATCTGAATCATAATCGCCATCTACAATATTGAGGTAGTTGATAAAGCGAGCGATGGCCTCGCTGCAAATTGATTTCCATAGAAACAACTCTCCACAAAGGCGTATTCAATCTCAAGGCAGGCTCATACTGGCGACAATTGCAAAATGATTCAGGTAAAAGACTGTTTTCCTCTAAATTAATCTACCATGTAGTTCACACTTGTAACAATACGGAGCAACTTCAGAATACCAGGCCACTTTATTTAATACAAATTGATATTTTTGTTTTTTCCTCGTGTTCCTGGCCAGAAATAAATACGAGCGGAACAATCATTTAACAGCACCTCTTCGCCGTATATCCGTTTTCCTGTTTTCAGTAAATTAGTTTGGATAAGATGCACACATACAAATAATAATAATAATAATAATAACACCAACCTTGCCATGTGTTTCTCGAGGCACTGCCGACAAAATCTGTGACCACATCTCGTCAGAACTGGCTCTCGCAAAGGCAGTTGACAAATTAAACATAGCAAGTCATCGTCAACTGGACTCGTGAAGTCTTCCTCGTAGCCACAAGGTAATTTAATGCTTCCCGTTTCCAGCATGTTGGATCTAACTGTATGAAATCTTCAGTCTAACGTGAAAACAGACGAGCTACTACGAGAATATTACGATTCTTACAAATATTACTGTGAAAGTCAAAAAACCGTGAACACTTTGATTTGATTTTGACATGTCGATTGTGTAGCCACCAATCAGATGCGAGATAAAACCGCAAAAAAGCAAACTAACGGTGGCTCCATCAGTTATGAAACCACACTTCGATCGTTTTTCCTTCCAAAGAATGGCTGTTACCCTGTAGTTTTATAATTACTAATTTAACCTGTTCTATTTGAGTAAGCAAACTGGAAATTCGAGCGACTTTAAATGACATGTGGCTCAAACCTGCACGCGCGAACTTGCAGCCTAAGGCTACAAAACCAGACAGCTCTTCTATATTCAACTTCATCCGTTGCTATATTTGGCGATAAAAATTATAAAGAACCCTAATAACTCCAAACTAAAAAGATCAATTTCTATAGAAAGTGAAAAGATTTGGGAAGAAACGAGGGTAAGGAGCAAAATAAATAAAGAGCAGAATATTATCTCTTGTAAATAATACGCAACTACATGTGACAATGCGCGCTGCCGACCATACGTGATAATTTCCTAATTTATTAAAGATTATTGTATTGTGCACCAGAATTATGGGTTTCTGTAAATAAACCGATATGTTAGGTAAAAAAGAAGCTTTCAATGAGAGTTCCAGGGGAAGAAAAAATATTCAAGGATCTGGCAGAAATGCAGCAGGGAGAGACTGAAGTCTGGAAAGCGGCTGCGGCAAGCAGAATCTAATTTATGCAAGTTACGCATTTTCTAACGACTTCGCAAAATTCGAAGGCAAGACCGGCACCATTAAGATACGATTTCCTTTCATATAAACGCAGTCGTGTATGGTAATTTTGTTCATCTTCAACGCAATGAATTCGGCCGTCTATGTGATGAAAAAGCGAAATTTTTCTCGAACTCGTGACAGCAGATCCGCTCCTTCAATCAAAAGAGTGACACTGAAAACCTGTTGATGCGAATTATTAGTATGCAAATTTAAGGCTCTCGATTTTTCGCGCCGTTTTGATGTGGCGGTTTCAAATCCGCGAGCAGTCACTAAAAACTACATATCCATATATATCCGTTGAGAAAATAGAGAAGAAAAGATGTGGTCAATTAAACATGTTTTTGGTCTTTTTATTACAGTGTCACAAAATAAATTCTAGTAAATTCAGTATTAATTAACTTCTTTCCAGCCACATCTGCTGGAAACATTGCCAACATAACAAGTAACATTTCTGTTTTTAACTATTTCTCACAACCCTTTATCACTCTGAAATAAGTCTCTTTATTATCAACATTTTGTAGAACTTTCGCTCTAGTTTTTGAACATTAATGAAATTTTATAAAGATTTCAAAACATAACGCAATTCTTGTAAGCTTACTTCATGCCCTTTCATTAGAGATATGGCTTACCATATAGCTGCTAACGTGTGTTGGGAAAATAAATTGTGATGAATTATTCGCTATTACAATCAAAAGAATTGGACCTGAAAACATCAACTAACGGCTTTCCAAGCTCAAATCACTATAAAGTAAAAGGTGAAGTCTATATCCAAGCCGGTAACCTGACACACCAGCGCTTATCTCCAGTATTAGTGGCATGAGGAGACTAGGAGTACAACTGTACTTCTACCCGCCCTTATCTCCCCGGGTGGGGTGCTTCTTCATCGCAGGGTCACAGTCTACTAAATTAACGATAAAAATCAAAGCCCTATGGACTTATTGTAAATTACAATAAATATTACCAAGAAAAAAAGTCCTAAAAGTCGAGTAAACTTATCATTCGAGTTAAGTGATCCATAATTGTAATATTTTTATAGTGAAATTCTTTATTTTTCGCATTACTAAGATACGATTTTCTTGACATTTTGTCCTCAGTTACCTCGTCAGAGCTTAACAGTATTACTTCGTCATACAAAAAGACTATGTCAGCTTAGACACAAACCATCACGTTTACTGTGGAAGGCCAATCTCAACTTGAAGAAATAATGTGTCGTCAACAATGTATCGTTTCGTCTTCAGATTCTTGTGAGATACAAACCTGGCAATGCCTGGCAATTCAGTAATACATGAAGTGGGTCCGGGCCTGGCACAGCAGGAATCACTTGTGCTTGTGAGCAAAGCGCAGACCACGTTTTGCCTCTTTTTTGGATCATCTTGTTGATCGATTAAGGTAAATGTTACTTTACGATGAAAAGGCCAGGCCAATATAGCGTCGTAATTACCATTCACGAGACCAAGGAATACAGAAACGTACCTGTTATTCGATGTCCGGTCGCCGAGTGGTTTCATACCAACTATGAGTTTGTAGCCATGTGGTCCTGTGGAGAATGGGCTACTGTATATTTTCTTGTTGCCGTCTTTCATGGCCTGCTGTAAGACCTCAGTGAAGCCACCTATCTTCCACACAAATCCAGAGGATTCACTTTTTAGTTCTGACGCTTCCTTCTCTTGAGCGGCCACCTTCGCATCAAGAGCGACGTTTGCCGCTGTCAACTCTTTCACTTGCTCCCTTAGTGTTATTCTTTCCTGGTCAAGTTCTTCTTGCTTCAGCTCGAGCGCGTTCATCTTTTCCTCAAGCTTTCCAGTAGTTTCTTTAAACGTTGTAGATGCTAAGTCAAGATGGCGTTGCATCTTGGACTGGAGATGGGATTGGACTTTCTTTCTCTGAATCTAAAGGCAGAATTTAACAAAGGTGCACGTGTAAACGCAGAATTTAACAAAGGTGCGCGTGTAAACGCAGAATTTAACAAAGGTGCGCCCAATGAGACCCAGCGAAGCGATGATGGCGGGACTCGGGAAAGGGGAAACAGGCTTCACCCTTCAATTTTCGAACAAAATTGACTGATAAAACAACTTCTCTTTATAAAAACACCAGCAACCTAAATTTGACTATCCTCGCCGTACGTATCTTACGTCCGACCCATACTGATACTTTTCAGTCCCTTAAGCCTGGTTTAAGCACAAGCGCAAGCATAACAGCTCTTTTTTGCACTGTGAAAACGGCCTCGACGCAAGCACAAGCACAAGCATCAAAACACTTCCTTTTCTTGTGCTTGCGCTTGTGCTTACGTTCGCTTTATGCCGTTTGAAAACGAAAAAGTGAATTTTAAGTTCGCTTCTGCTTGTGCTTATTCTTATGTCGGTCGACATTCGAGGCTTAGCATAAACACTTATGCTTGCGCTTGTGCTAGTGTAAACCAGGCGTTACTCTACTGCGCCGTTCCTGCCATCATAAAATTAGCCGATTGCTACGTGACCTATGCTTCATTCTGCGTCGTTACTTTTTACACTCGCTATAAATAAAAAAATTCTTCAATTCCTGATATGGTCACAAACCGAAATGGATTTCTCTCAGTGCTATAAACTATTTTAGATTGCTGACCTTTGAATTGCAACCCATCTGAACATAAGGACAGGAGACCATGGACAGAGGACAGTCGTTGTTGGTGTGAGACGCAATCTAGTTTAAATANAGTTACTCGACTCAGTTATTTTACTGTGAAAGTTTTCATTCAACATGGGGTTCAGAAATAAATAACGTTTATTAGTTGTTCTAGAGTCAATTGGTACATTTCAGCATAAAAATGAAATTGACTGCCACCCCTACAAAACGACATTTGGGTTCTTTTCACAAGTTCCGACAGGCAGCCCCGTCATCTTCATAGGGGGGGTGCCACCTGGGACCTACCTCTTCTCGAACAATAATCTTGCCACAGGTATTTGGACATTCCACTGGCTTCTTCTTACACTTATTATCAACATGATCCTACGGACGTGCATAGAAATACATTTAATTCTCGAA